TCTATGTAGTCTAAAAATATTTGTTAAAGGAATTCAACCCAAATGTAATAATAACCATTTGTGAGTGGAAACCAACATTGGAAAACAAAATACTTAGCCTGTTAAGAGGCCAACACCAACAACCTTATTCACCAATCATGTCTGGCAATCTGGCAAGTATACTAGGCCGATATATAAAATGCAGTTTGTAAAGAAATTATATCTGACAATGTACTGGTTAAACCAACATGACACAATACAAATAGTAAATACTGCAAGTCAGCTCTAGAGGTGTTGGTAGGAGCAGTAGTTATTAACTTAGACATAGCCAGGTTGGCTGTTTCCCCCTGTCTTCAGTCATTATGCTAAGCTAAGCTAACCTGGTCACTGCAACAGATTTGCTTTCATCAATCTTTTAAAAAAAAACAGACACTATAAGCTTGTTTCCTAAAATATTGAACTGTTCCTTTAAATATGATGTTACCCAAAGGCTTTTCCCACTATTTAGGGATGAAGTTCAGACAGCGGGTGTATAAAGCAGGTGTAAGCTAAGCAGGTATCGCCTCGTTGGGGCACAAACAAACTCTGCAATTACCTGATAAGACTCAGATTCAAAGGTTGTTACAGTCAAAGGGCTAGCTTTCCTAGATGCTAGCACCCACACACAGATCCAAAACCCCACTCTCATTTAAAAGAAAGACCAGGAGAGACAAGCGCTGTGTAGGTTTGTTTACTTTCTTTTGGGAAAGAACATTTAGTGTGCTTGTTTCTCCATCAGGCCTGCCAGAGAAGAATTCATCTCTTGTCCAGATAGGCAGATAACAAGGCCTGGGGGCTCCTCCACACACAAACGGAGAGTGAATGTGAAATATGATGTGGTCTCTCGAGGGATGTACGGTTTACCGGAGTGAAAGGGCTCAACATGAGAGCTACGTTCATGGCTATAGGCTGAGCAGCTGTTAGATGCTTTCCTGGACCATGGTAGCTGAAAGCTGTTTTCTACATCTCAGAATATAAAGCGATGTCAGAATAAGAGTTGACTAGTTCTCCGGCTACACCTGCCTGATGCTTAGTAACACCTGTGGGCTGTAGTGCTCCATGTTGTCTATAGTGTACACAAAAAGGGTATCATTTTCCTAAGGATCCCGTTGTTCAGACTTTAACATGTGAGGTGTTGGTTAATGGTGTCCACTAACTACTGAACAAAAAAGGATTGGTAGCAGAGGCATACTGACAACATTAGCCAGTTTTTTATTTTGCTGGACTTGCTATTTATTTGACAAAACAAAAGATTGACAGAAAAGGGGAAGACAGGGGACGACAAGGTCCTCAACCCAGCATAAAACTAAGCTACTTAACCAATTTACATGATTGATTCTGTTACTGGCTTTATTATAACTTAATTATGTCAGGAATATCTCCACACATTGGAATTTTTGTATAATAATAAACACATTTTATTAAGAATGTAATGTTTACAACAAGCTGAAGTTCAGACGATGGGGGGCAGGGGAGGAGCTGCCAGAGAAAACTGTCATACCAAAGCAAAATAGTTAAAATATGTGTTTTTGTTAGTATGCTAGTTGCTAGGTGTACATTTACTATGTATGTAGCTACAGGGAACTGGTCAGGTAGTGTAAAGTTGGTAACTTTTAGGGCAAGTTCCATTTAATAAGACAATTAACCTGCAATCATCTTGAGTTCACTGGAACTTTGGTGGATATCATTTGAGACATGACAGATATCACGTACAGATTGAAATTCATGAGTCACCAATGAGCTGTGTTAATCTAGTACATGGTTTTATTACAGCTTCACTAGAAAAACTGTTAGATAATGCTAAACTAAACAATAATGTTGTACCAGACCTCTGTACACTTGGGTTTTGAATACATTAAGTCCCATTACACATTAAACAACGTAAGATCGCGTGAATCTGCTGTAGTGTTCAAGGGTCAGCTGACTGGAAAAATGTAAACAGTCTAATTTGCTTCAGGAATGCATTTGTCACACTGGCCTTTGTCTGACCTGCAAGGTACAAGAAACAGCCAACAAGTAAGACTTTAATCCGGAGCTAAGAGAAATCACAAAAGCAAATGGACTTGGGCCATATTTGTAAGTCATACACACAACATCAACCTCAGCTAACCTCAGCTTTGCTGTTAGTCCTCCAAATTGGATCTGCATAATACCAAGTTCAATAAGGTCTTGGTAGTGAGGCAGGATAGAAATCAATTCATTAACCTTCTCTTTTGTATGTTACTGTTTTCAGAATAAAATACATCTGAAAATGTCCCATTCCCTAATCTTGATGATATATTAATGGCTTCTACCAGGGAGTTGGGTTTTACAATGTCTGTCTGACTCAACTTTCAGGAATACGCTAATCTTCACATGACATCATTGAATAATAGGACACGGTTGAAGGGGGTAAAAAAAGGGTAATTGTCCTCCAGCACTGAAATGTTCTTACATTAAGTGCTTGCTGCAGAACACATCCCTCAAACAGTTAAAAACATGCCATTAGCATCTAGTTACAGACTCCTTTTAAGGATTTACTGAAGCAGACTATAATATGCATGTTGGTTAGACATCAGCAAGCTTTTGATGAGTCAAGCAGAGCAACAGAGGCTAAACCTGACAGTCGGGGTACATCCAGCCGCTCATGACACAGCAGGAGCTGCTTTTTTATAAGGACTTCCTTCCTTCTGTCCTTTCATCTAGCAATGCGCTTCTAGGTTTGTGGTACTTTGCTGGATCGTGGGGAGTCAGGGAAATTCACTTCTACATAGGAAGGGAAGTTATAATAATAATAATAATAATAATAATAATAATAATACATTTTATTTGCTAAAAGTAACCCCAAAGTGCTACAAGGGCCGTAAATTAGTGAGGGGTCAAAGTGACTCGGCTTCATTTTTCCCTCTATAAATCCTCGCTAACTTCCATCGGAAGCAGAAAATGGCATTGATGAGTTTAATAACTTGGATTTTTATAGCGCTTTCATGAGACCCAAGGTCGCTTCATCGCTTTAAATGAATGAAGTTTGAGCTTCATTCATTTATGTAAAATAAATTTAGGATGGGACATTAGATTAGTCCATTTTGTGATGAGCACTTAAATGGTGTTCTGTCTCCAAAACAGGATGAAATGGACATAGACCAATGGGAATAAGACCTGACTTATTATTATCATTAATGAATTGCAATGCATCTATGTCTGATTTAGAAGTTGAAAAAAAACTAGGAGAAAATAATCGGACATCGGAGATTTTGTGCGCCACAATACTAATATATATTTGATAAAGTACATATTATTATAATAATAAGAATACATGTTATTTATATAGCACTTTTCCTGGTGTTCAAAGCGGAGACATTATGAACATTACATTCCAAAACTGTGATGGGAATATCTATTTTTGGCCATTCCATTAAAAGACCTGTAAAAGTAAGATACCTCATCACATTACAGTATGAGTGCTGTAAATCCAATATTGTCATGCAATGATTGTCATATGTAATTGTAATGCTATCTACCAAAGTCTAAATACGCAAAAATATTTTTGTTTAATGCAAGCCTGACCAAATGTCAGACTGACACAAATCTGTCGTTACATCCAAGTAAACAACCAGCCCTCAAGTTTTGTCTTGTGCCAAGTCAGCCACCCTGCAAACATCCTCTTCCCACCGCATCCTGTTCTCTTAACAGGGACACTGTGAGGTATGATAAAACATGTTGCACATCCCAATGAACGTCTGCCTCCCAGCAACACCCTGTGACCTCACAGAGTCATCGAAGCGCTTTCTGACTGAATAAGGGAGGTACATCGAAAGCAACAAAGGTCAACATAACTGATCAATACAACAATGCCTCATCACTCTACTGACAAGGATAAGTGTCTTTGCCCTGTCAGGTCAGGATCTTACTGATACACTAAGCCACACTCTGAGTCTTGTTGCTATGTGATGATGTATGGTCCAATCTGGGTCAGCTGGAATACTATGGTATTGTTACTGTTGTTGAAGTCAGTGTGCAGTCACTCAAAAACTAAAAACAGACGAGAATTTGAGTGACCTTTGACTCATAACATGGTGCCAGACGTCTGTAGTACAAGACAAAATACCTCTGGGAATAAGTCAGGTGCATCAAAACAACATCCCCTTAAAATGTATAAGCATCAACACAGATTGCGTACTTGCTTTGAATATAAAGCATTGTTCAGTTTGTGACTCATCTAAAAACTCATACAGTTTTTCCTCTTGGGTAAACACACCAGAGAGAGAAGACTGAAAGAAGACAATGTCAAGGTCACACTGCGAGCCTTCAACTAGAAACTTTTTTACACTGCCTTTACTAGATTTAAACATCAGGAGCTTCTAACTCCACATTGGAAGCAGGTATGTTGTATACAATTATGAAATATAAATGTGTTCAATAGAAGTTATGAATGAGGATGCATACAATAAAAATGTACCATAACAAATGCTATTCCCTCCTAAGAGTTAACACAAGTTCATATAATAAACAGTTTTTCAGTTCTGACATAGATGTCGAGCTGTTTGAATGAGGCATGATGTCCGTATTGTGTCCGTATTGTGGCCATGCCAAATTTGACAATAGAATAAGGATAAACTTCCAGAGATTAAAGGCTTTTAAACTTCATAATTGTGTCAAGGATGAAGATATTTCAATATAAATGATTGGGAGTAAATATTGCCACCATCCACCACATTCCACAGGCTATTCCTTCCGACATGTACAGAACAGCTTGATGGCTAAACTGAATTAAAAACGGGGCTGGCAGATAACCACTGATGCACCATCACAGTGCATGGTACAATGCAGATACAAATGTCAGATATATTACAGTACTGCGAAGTTAAATCGTCAGTGGCTCTATTAAAACCAGCAGACCGTGACATTCCCAAACGTGCAGAGGTGCAGTCTGCGAGTCCTTGGGTAACGTTTCAAAATGCACCGTGTTTGTCAAGCGATTCAGGGGGAACAGTTCTTCTTACCTCGGAATCCTGTGCGTTTATAATCCATTCGTATAATGTGGCGGGAATAAATCCATGTCCGTGTTTGTATCCCGATTCCCCTCGTGGAATTCACTGTTGTTGTCTATTATTTAAGTAGCTAATGCTCGTTAAGGCCAGAGCAAGGAGCCACACAGTAGAGGAGAAGGCGCAACTTGAAACTGACAGAGGGGGATCGGTCGATACCATCACAACGGCAAGGAGGGGGGAGCGAACAAGTCTAAAAATAACAATATGTTAACAAAACATCGCTAGGTTATTAATTTCCCCAAAATTCGTTGAAAAACGACACTGAGACAGACTATACATGGATATTGGGACAGCACTTTGTAATGTTTGCATAAATCTGGATATATTTGAATAGTTAGATAATAAACCCCCCGCTAGACGTTGGAGTGAGCCTGCATGTTTTAACTCGGTTTAATCCGATTGGTCTCTTCTAACGTGACGCAGCAGTGCTGCTGCATTCAATGGTGTCAGAAACTGGTTTACACAACAGGAGAAGGCTGGCGGGTATTTATATGTAGCTGAATTGCAGAGTTTTTACAACAATTCTCATTTACTGTAAAGTATTATTTGATATGATGTGTGTGGTTGTGCACCCTAAATAAATATTGACTTAATCTGACACGAGACGTTAAAACAGATAATTGTCAACAACTGATTACCCTTAAGAGTGCTTAATGACGAATTATTATCAAAAGTAATGATTGCACAGTCACACTAATCACTGTTTACAGTCAAGTAGATTTCAAAAATCAAATTCTATGAAAAACATATCTTTAGTCTTTCTAGGATTTATTAAAAAAACCAATGCATGGACTCCTGACTCTACATAGTGGCTGATTTGTTTATTGAGTTATCAGAGTAATTCAATGAGCACGTTGTTTGGGGCACCCATTCATTTTATGGCCACTGTAAAATTAGTATAGGCAGCATTAAAAGGAAAGATAAGTCAGTTAACTGTTTGCGTGACTCAAAGTCATGGATGTAATTTCTCAGTTACAATTGAGTTTGTGTGTCTGTGCAAGTGTCTTTTTCACTGTATGGAATCCTGAAAAACACCGTTCCCATTGAATTTCAACACAGCCCTTTCTGTTTGTTTTCTAACAAAGAATAGAAATGGATAGCGCAGTGGGTTTTATAATTGCTGAAGTTTGCCTTGGTGGAAAACCACTTAAGATTACAAGTTGGGAAAATTACATGTTTCAAACAATCGCCTTCAAATGCCAAGATATCACATGAAAAACAGTTTAGTGGGTCTCTGGCGGCTTCCCACAGACAGAAATATGCATCGCTGATACACTGCTTTGTTTTGTCCTGATCACGACACAATCCAAGATTATACTCATGTTACAGAAACATATTGTACACATCAGAGCAACCCAGACTGCACATCCAAAGAATGTATTAAAGCTGTAATGATTATCCTAAGTGTCTTGGCTGATTAAAATGAAAGGTCAATGGCATGCAGGCTCTTCGTAAAACCCTCTCAACTATCAAAGTCACTTGCCCCTCTTGTGTCTGTATTTGATAATGTTGCTTCCTATGATGACTTCCCACACATTTCAGCCAGAGCCCCTTCCGTAGTCTTTGTAGTTTGCAGGCATGGCTGTCTTTAAAAATGAAATAATCATTAGTGTAGCTCCAGACTTGCTTATTATGAGGGTTATGTCATGCATTCTTTCAGGGGAGTGAAAAACATAAATCTTCTCACTTCCTTCTGTAGCATATGAACTGGGCTCTGTACTTTTGCATAGCTAAGTAAGTGCATAAAAACTGTAATTTTGTCAACTCAAAACAGGGATTCCCCAACCTTATCATTAAAGAAATTAGTTAAAATCAGTCAAAAGATGGAAAATAAATCCGCGGTTAAGGTTATGGGCATAATATACTTCCTTATGTAATTGAAAACATTAGCATAGTCACATCTCTTTCTGCGATACCTCTTATGTGATTCAAACCGTGGCTCAGTAAAAACAAAAATCCTTTGACTGTGAGACTTGCAGCCAGGAAGGCTTTACTGTCCACCACTAAAAAGACGTTCCACATAATGAGTTCTCCAATCAGAACAAGCTGTCCTAGTTGGATTTGCTAATTAAACAAACCACAAGGGGGACGCAGGATGTCAAATAAGGTCTGCTTGTGTGAAAAAGACGGAGCGAATGGGAGACAAACTTGGAAGGGTTTAAAAAAAAAAAAAGAACTGGGATCAGGAGCAGGATGGCTCGCTGCCGGCACACAATACATCAGAGAGTTTCGCCACATTATGAAACCGCCTCTAATTGCACTGAGCACCTTAGTTCCCACCACACCTCTGTTCCACACAGAGGTTTGTCATCAGCCATTCACTGACGATCAGTGGCTGAAGCATGCAGACAAAGGGCTGTCTACCTAAGGTGAGGCATGCTGCACACATTCCCATCATAACAAAGGAATCACACGTTATGTCATCCCAGAAATCTTCAAAGGCATGTGCCATATCATGACAGATGACAACAGACTGCGTCAGATCTCCATTCATTCGCCTATCATAAAGCTGAGGACAACAAAGGCAGAGTACTCACTGTACACAGGGAAGACAGGCACAAGGTATTCCTTTGGCTGGGGTTTGTTCTCTTCTTCTATTTTCCTCCCTCCCTTTCCCCGCCTCTCCTCCTGCCTTCTCCCCCCTTTCTCTCTCACCACAGCAAGATGCTGCCTGGACCGGTGCTCGTTGTCATGGCAACCAAGACCGGGGGGGGGATTCTCACGTGACCGAGTCTCCCTGAGCGCTGATTGGTGTGACGCATTCAAAGGAAAAAGGGAGGGAGGGAGGGGAAGGGGTGATGTCACACACCCACACTAATGTGAGGGATCCTCAGACACAATGGGCGTCTTTTTCAGGCGGGTGGAGCTGAAGTGCAAATATTAGATGGTCAAGGATGATCCCACTTGACTGACTGATAGGACTGGCTGATCTGAGATATGTCTGGCTATGCTCAGCTGTTCCAACACTTTAGGCTCTCTTCTGCGATGCTGCTCCAAAAATGTCCCCCAAACTGCCAGGGGCCAGAAAACAGAAATAACACACAAGTGTTGCAAGACATACGAGAGCCATCATATGTGGCAGCTTGACCTGCTGGCCCAAGACACTTCAACCTCTCAAACAAGGGGCTGCAGGGAGTTATTTATAGCACTGCAGAAACCAGATGGAAGCATAACTGCTGCTAACATTCATACAGCAAGCAAAGGCAACATTAACATGATAAAACAACGGACCTTTCAAAACTGAAATATTCAATACAGTGGCAGACTGTTCCCGCTGATAACACGTAAAAAAACGTAATAAAGAGTGAAATACGGACTATACTTGTCAACACAATCCAGGCATTTACTCCACTGTGCAAACATTACATCACTTTTGCATTACTTCTGTATTACACAGTTCATTTCGAGCAATAATCTGGTTTTCCTCAATAATTACAAATGTTATATAATACATTATTTTTTGAATACAGCACTGTTATATATTGCTTTAACTTCTATTTATTTAATTATATATATTTAATTGATTTCTATTTTATGTTATTGTTTTTACATATTGTAGTGCAATGCGCCTTTTATTTGACTATCATTAAACGTGAGACAAATACAGAAACTACGAAGGGAATGTGCAGAACAGCCTATGTGCCATAATTGGATCATGACAAGCCCTCGCTGTCATACTTTTTACAAGCGTTTTACAGACTTGAAATCTAAGGGAAAATGTTCTACAACGTTTAGCTGTTAAGTGAAAGAGTAAAAAAAAGCTTTCCATGTTCATCGAGGTTATAAAAGATTTCGGAAAGAGAGTGTTTTACATCCCATTTGGGGGAAAGTATGTTTCTTTCAATTTCACACTCATTCCCAGCGATGACATAATCCTGGCGCAGGCTTGTTGTCCAGACTGTTGTATAACGGCCATGTTCTACCAGAGATGAGAAATGATCTGTTCTGAGAGAACTGGATGTTGAGTTTTCTGAGCTGATGTCATGTATTGCCTTTGCAAGGTATTGAGCAACTCTGAAATATGTCTCACTAATCCCAAGTAGACATGCTGCTCAGTGTTGGGGGCCATCTGGGGTTGTTTCTTTTTTTCTTTCTTTTTTTGTTTTACAATGCAAATAAAGCTTTATTTCCAATGACAAAAATAGATACTGATAATTGGACACTTTTCTCGGTTGGACATAGACAAAAGTCCAGAGACATGCCTTTGACGTGTCATTACACTCAGAACAAAGCACCACTTAAGAAATACACTTCCTCTGGCCTGTGTCTAAAACGTCTTCATTGAATCCTAAAATATTTGTTAATAAGATAAAAGTAAATGTTTTGTGGTATTTAAATGAAAAATACCCACCAAAAGTATAGTCCTCCCTCCAAGCAAAATATGTTTTATTTATTAGGATTCAATGCCTATTTCCACCTTGGATCTAACTGTTTTGCTGTCTGAATAATATCAAGAATTCACTCGTACAGAAGCTGTCCGAATCGATAAGAAATTAAGCTCAAACAACACACTCCAAATAAAATGAAAGGTATGTATTATGCAGACATTTTTTCCTCTAATGCTATAACTGGGCCGAGAACTTCATTAATAAAACATGCAACGCTGTCTCCAAGCCATCTGTTTCTCTACACCCAGTAGACACACATAAAGGTGTATTTCAATGTTAAAAAAACAAATGTGGAATCAAATGTAATAATGTTCACACGTCGCACGTTGCTTTTCCCAATTCGTATGCCCTTGCCATGTAAAATATAGTTTGCTAGATAAAACAGGCTGCTTTGTTGCTTGCTCAGTTTATGACAAAAGAGACCAATATTTGTAAAAAAAACACATAATAAAAAAAAATTACAGATTCATCACGGCCAATTAAGGACTGTAAAAGAATCTTAGGTTATATTATACTGATCCACTAAAAACAACAACAACAAATACATGATTTTATACAGTTTTAAACATGAATTTTCCATGCAGTTAATCATTCAGTAGGGATTGGTGGAACAGAACAGGGTTTACATGTTAGTGCATGCTGTGTTGACTTATAACAGGCTGTAGATTCAAGCATGTTAAAGCAAGTCCTCTGACATGAAGCCGCAATTAATGAGGCCCAGATA